CCGCTTTCCACTAGCTCTCAGGTATTCTATGGTACTGCGATGAATGGCACAATTTATCGTTTCTTGACTATTGGTGAGAAGGAGTGGCGCCTTCTACGCTTGCTGCAGGACCTATGCATCCGTGATCCTATTATTTGCCCATTCGTTCCCAAGAGGAGAAGACAGCGCAACCCAGTCGGGCTGATGGACCCTCAGCCATCTCAAATGCATATTGACGGTGACATTCTCAGCCGCTTGCTCATACGTGGGTCTAGCTATCTAATGCAGATGCTAAGTAAGGAGACGTTCGGTGGTCCGGCAGCTGCAGGAATCCGCTCAGAGCAGGGAGTCCCCGAGCAATTTGCGGAATTGACAAGACACGTACTGGGAGAAACAAGCGATGCTGTTGCGAGCGTTATGAGATGGCTACAGCGGATTCTCCCGGTGGATGTCTAGGGATTATCTACAATTTCTGTTGTGAAGGACAAAATTTGGCAGCATGCTATATATAGAATTGTACTGTGTACATAGATGCTTAATTTTTGACGCAAATTGAATGCAGCCAGCAAGTTAATAGTACGAAGGTGATTATTGTGTGCCAGTCGTGAACAATAAGAGCGCGGGCCACCGGCGGCCTCTCGCATAATAATCCGGCGATTGTCCCCACCAAACGCCCGGCCCAAAATTCTTATTACCCCAAAGGCAACTCGTCCTTCCCGCCTCATCGAGTCTCCAACCTTTGGATCTTTATCGACCACCAGGGGGGAAAACGGTTGCTTGTTTTTCGCTCTTTCTTTTTCTTTCCATTCTTCACGATCCCTTTGGAAGGATTTTTTTCTTTTCGGGCTTATCTTTCGCCACTCTTTGCCTTCCGCAGATCGCGCGGGCCGGAGAAAGCTGATACCTCATTGTTAGTGCGCACTACCACCATCAACCTCCATTCATCCTCATTGCCTGCCGACGTCGCTCGGTCACATAATACCGTGTTATATTCACTTGACTAACGGTTTAAATCTTTCTATATAGGGTAATTCCATCTACATATCCGTTTAAAGGAATAAAAGCGAGGTCGACCGAATCCTCCACCTATCAATATGGCGCCCAAGAAGAAGGGAAACAAGAGGCAAGAGGAGGACTGGGAAGCTGAGCTCGGAGAGTCCGTCCCTGCTCCCGGTGGCGAGGCCGAAGCTCCCGCTGCTGAAGAAGGTGCTGCCGACGAGGATGCTGGCATGGGCGGTGGTGGTTTGCTCGCCGCTTTGAGGAAGAACAAGAACAAGAAGGCGAAGAAGGGAAAGCCGGCCAACGACTTCGTTGAGGGTGAGGATGCCACTCAGGAGGCCAACGGCGATGCCGATTTCGCTAGCAAGCAGCCTGAGGAGGGTACCTTCGATGACGACGATGTGTTCGCTGGAAAGGCTAAGCCTAAGAAGGCTGCTGCTGCGCCTGAACCCAAGCCCGCTGAGGAGGAGGAGGGTGGCTTCCGTGTGAAGTCTAAGAAGGAGAAGGAGCGTGAGAAGAAGGAGCGTGAGAAGCAGCGTAAGAGGGAGCAGGTATGTTTCTTGCGCTTTTGCAGCCCTTACATCATTCCGTGATCGTGTGGAACTAATAGGTCTATTTCATTTCTAGGCTGCCAAGAAGAAGACCACCGCCCCCGCTGAGAAGGCTCAGCCCGCTAAGGCCGAGCCTGAGAAGAAGGAAGAGGTTGCCCCCGCCCCCGCTGCTGCCCCCGTTCCGGAAACCGGTGGCAAGAAGAAGAAGATCCCTGCACACCTGCTGGCTATCCAGAAGCAACAGGAGGCTCTCCGCAAGCAGCGTGAAGAGGAGGAGCGCCTGTTAGCCGAGGCGCAAGCCGCTGAGGAGGAGAGACTCCGTCTTGAAGAGGAAGAGGAGAAGAAGCGGGAAGAGGCCCGCCAAAAGAAGAAGGAGAAGGAGAAGGAGAAGAAGGAGCAGCTTCGTAAGGAGGGTAAGCTGCTCACCAAGGCCCAGAGAGAAGCCAAGGAGCGCAATGAGCGGCGCATGCAGCAGATGCTTGCAGCTGGTATCGGTAAGGTTGCTGGTCTGGAAGAGGGCCAGGCCGAGAAGAAGCGCCCTGTTTACGAGAACCGGAAGAAGCGTGGACCCAAGAAGCAGGAGGATGATCTGGAAGCTGCTGCTGCCCGCGCCAAGGCCCAGCGTGAAGCTGAAGAGGAGCGCAGAAGAAAGGAGGAGGAAGAGAAGAAGGCCAAGGCTGAGGCTGAGGCTGCTGCCGCTGCCGCCGCCGCTGGCGGAGAGGAGAGCGAACTCGACGACTGGGAGAAGGCTGCCGATGCCGAGGAAGTGAAGGACAGCTGGGATGCTCCTAGCGACGAGGAAGAGGAGAAGCCCGCCACCAATGGCAAGGCTGACGGAAAGCCTGCCGGCAAGCAGGCTGAGGAAGACGAGAGTGAGGAAGATTCCGATGAGTCCTCTGACGAGGACTCTGAGGACGAGGAGCAGTCCGCGGCACAGAAGGCTATTGCTCAGCGCAAGGCCGAGGCCGCCGAGCGGAGAAAGAAGCAGCACGAGGAGGCTATGGCCGCGCGCTCCAAGGACAACCTCCGTTCTCCTATTTGCTGTATTCTGGGTCACGTCGATACCGGTAAGACCAAGTTGCTGGATAAGATTCGTCAGACAAACGTCCAGGAAGGTGAAGCTGGTGGTATCACGCAGCAGATTGGTGCTACTTACTTCCCTGTCGATGCTCTGCGTCAGAAGACTGCTGTTGTGAACAAGGATGGCCAGTTTGACTTCAAGATCCCTGGTCTGCTCATCATTGATACCCCTGGTCACGAGTCCTTCTCCAACTTGCGTTCGAGAGGTTCTTCCCTTTGTAACATTGCCATTCTGGTTGTCGATATCATGCACGGTCTTGAGCCCCAGACTCTTGAGTCCATGAGATTGCTCCGTGATCGCCGTACTCCTTTCATCGTCGCTCTGAACAAGATCGATCGTCTGTACGGCTGGAAGAAGATCGACAACAACGGCTTCCAGGAGAGTTTGGCCTTGCAGAACAAGGGCGTTCAGAACGAGTTCCGCACCCGTTTGGAGCGCACCAAGGTCTTGTTCGCTGAGCAGGGTTTCAACTCGGAGCTGTTCTACGAGAACAAGTCCATGGCCCGCAACGTCTCTCTCGTGCCCACCTCCGCCCACACCGGTGAAGGTATCCCTGACATGCTCAAGCTGTTGACCACTCTGACCCAGGAACGTATGACCAACTCTCTGATGTACCTGTCCGAGGTTGAGTGTACTGTTCTTGAAGTTAAGGTCATTGAGGGTCTCGGTACTACCATTGACGTTGTTTTGTCGAACGGTATCCTCCGCGAGGGTGATCGAATCGTGTTGTGTGGTCTAAACGGGCCTATATCAACGAATATTCGAGCGTTGCTGACGCCGGCTCCTCTCAAGGAACTGCGTCTTAAGTCGCAGTACGTGCACAACAAGGAGGTCAAGGCTGCCCTTGGTGTTAAGATTGCCGCGAACGACCTTGAACAGGCCATTGCCGGTTCTCGTTTGATGGTTGTCGGACCCGATGACGACGAGGAGGACATTGAGGAGGAGGTCATGTCCGATCTGGAGAACCTGCTCAGCAAGGTCTCCAGGGACCAGCGTGGTGTCAGCGTGCAGGCCTCCACTCTTGGATCTCTGGAAGCTCTGCTCGAGTTCCTCCGTGTCTCCAAGATTCCCGTCGCCAACATTTCTATCGGTCCTGTGTACAAGCGTGATGTCATGATGGCCGGTACCATGTTGGAGAAGGCTAAGGAGTACGCCGTTATGCTGTGTTTCGATGTCAAGGTGGACAAGGAAGCAGCTGCCTATGCTGATGAAGTTGGCGTCAAGATTTTCACTGCCGACATCATCTACCACCTGTTCGATGACTTCACCAAGCACATGGCTGAGCTGACGGAGCGCCGCAAGGAGGAGAGCAAGATGCTTGCTGTCTTCCCCTGCGTGCTCAAGACCGTGGCTGTGTTCAACAAGAAGGACCCCATCGTCATTGGTGTTGATGTCGCGGAAGGAAGTCTGCGTCTGCACACTCCTGTTGCGGCTGTCAAGGCTAACCCTGAGACTGGCGCTAAGGAAATCATTGACCTTGGTAGAGTGTAAGTTTTTGTCCCTTTTATCCCCACCTTACAATTACTAATTACGCATACAGTGTCTCGATTGAGCGTGATCACAAGCCCATCCAGGTCTGCAAGAGGGGTCAACCCTCCGTGGCCGTCAAGATCGAGGGAAGCAACCAGCCCATGTACGGTCGTCAGCTCGAAGACAAGGACACCCTGTACTCGCACATCTCTCGTGCCAGTATCGACACCCTCAAGGAGTTCTACCGCTCCGACGTCTCCATGGAGGAATGGGGTCTCGTCAAGAAGCTCAAGCCTGTCTTTGACATCCCATGATCGCCTTACCCGTTCCATCTGTAGCCCGGATGCCGAACCCAGCCCTACGCATGGCCCATCGATCACAGACCCTGGGCGCTCACTTGAGTACAGCCTGGCGGGGTTATGGCGTTTGGTAACGGGTTCCAGCATGCCATTAACGTGGTATTGTACAGCGGTTTCAAGTTCCATTGCCGTGTTGATGAGACATGTGCTGCTTTATGCGAGAAGAATGAAAGGAAATGATAGGTGCATTCTTTGGATTTGACGAAGAAAAGTAAAAGAGCATTGCATGAGAAATGACTACGACTTTCAATCAAAAGCAAGATGCCTGTACATGACATGAAAGGGGGAGTGGAGAGAGAGATGGGGACAAGAGAAGAGGTGGTTGGAAAAGTGAAGCGTGGTCGATACCTAGGTTTTTGTTTTTCTGTTAATGATAATCATGGATCTCTAGTTGAATTGATTGTTTGTTCGACTTTTTCCCAGAACATAAGTACTGATACTAGTACATAGGCCACAACTATAGTAGTTCATCCAACTTCACATGATACACGGTAGTATATACACCCCAGCCTTCATCTACTGCCCACACAACCACCACTTACATATAAACCTAAGAATCAATTAATTATCATCCCCCTCCCACCTCTCAACTCTACCCCCCCTCTTCGCCCAATCCAACCAACTCCCATCATAAACCCCCAGCCGACTCGCCTCATACCCCGCCTGCTCCGCCAACTGCGCCGCCGCGCGCGCCCTCACCCCAGCCTTACAATAAAACACGATCTCCGCGTCCTCTTCCTCCCCCTTCACACCAGGCTTGGGGAACCCAAACCTCGTCTCGAATTCCTCCGGGGTCAGGAACAACGCGTCAGGCTGGGATGCTAGCGGCACGCTCACGGCCGAGGGGATGATGCCCGTGGAGGAGAGCTCGGCGGGCTCGCGCACGTCGATTAGAATAATGGGTTTTTGGGTCGGGCTGTTGGGGGTGTTGCTGGGGAGGGAGGCGGTTATCTATTCATTTTGTTTGTTAGTTTGGTTGGGTGGGTGGGTGGGGGTTGTGGTGGTAGGTAGGTAGGTAGGTAGGTAGGGACGTACGTCTTCAAAGCCCCATTGGCGGAAGGTGGGGGCGTCGTTGTCTTTGGTGCTTTTTTGGCGGATGGAGCGAAGGTTAGGGTGGGAGAGGATGAGGTTGCTGCTGGTGGTAGTGGTAGTGGTAGTGGCTCTTTTGGTGATGGTGTTGGGGAGGAGGGTGGAGGATCTGGTTGTGAAGGTCCGAGTGGAGGGGATGGTGGTGCTGGTGAGGAGGGAACGGGCGAGGTGGGTGGATGGCTTGGAGGTGGAGGTGAGGAGGGACGTGGGTGCCCGGCGGAGGGGGAGGAGAGAGGCCATTGTTGTTGTTGGCTTTGAGCTCTAGGTTGGAGATGAGGTTGTTGGTGTTGCTGATGCGGTTGCGGATGGGGACGGTAGTTGGGGGTGGTCTGCGGAAGTTAGTGTGTGGTTTGATATTTGGCGGTTTCGGCTGTATGACACAAATGGGATCTGTGTGTAGAGAAGTACTTACCCCAGAGAAAGATGACTTGATATGTCTGGGTTAGAGATATGAGCAAGTCGAGAAAGTCGTCGAGCTGATAGAGTAAGTTCGACAGCCGATATCCGACGGATCGAAGTCCGGCTTCGGGTGATGTCAGTTGCAGTGCTGACCGCCTTCCATTTATAGTTTCCCTAGAGATGTATCTATACTACATGTTTTAGATATATTTGAAGATCTAAACAATCTATTCGAAGGCCTTTGGCAATATCCTGAAAAGGTGTTCATGTGCAATACATATCTTTCTCACACTGGCAACTTCAGCAATCATAGTACCCATCACTAAGTCCCAGACCATTATCTCGGCCGCTCGGTTTATACAAACGGTTTGCCAGAACTTCAACGCCGTGCCACGCAGCATGTCGTTCAGCCGGGGGGTGTTTTTCAGGCTCAACGTGTAAATATAGGCTCATGTACGTGAGCGACTGATACAACCCGCCAATACTTTTCTTTTGTAGATGGCACATGTCCAGTTTATTACTCGGTTTTCGAGGCTCTGATGACCACTGCTTCAAATAATCTCTCTGGTTGTACCACAATCAGAGTAGGCTTTGTGGAGACTTCTTCACCATTTAGGGCTACGGGGATTCTGGCTGTTCCTAATACCTATTTCCGCGAGCTGTTCGTCAGTACAGTTCACTTGGAACTCCTCGTTATCTAGCCACTTTTGCTGTTCCCGCAAGCGATTAATATTAGCAGGTGTGACTTCCATGAGGGTATCTTTGATGGGAGACACAGTGGCCGGAATCTCAAAACCTTAATTCGACATATGGCACCAGTACTAGTGCCTTCGAGGTGGCCCAGAGATCTTTAGCCACCGAGAGATTTGTAAGGATCATCATCGAGAATGCCATTATCGATGTCCTTAGTTAATCACGCAATCTCAACTTACAGGTGCTTGCTTCGACTGTCTTCTGAAGTGGTTTTTCAGACGCAGTGAGGATGTCCAGGGGAGATATCTGCGCCGCTATATGCACAGTAGCTGGGAAGAGACCTCTGAATCCCGACATCTATGGAAGCTCGCAGTAATAGCTAGTAATCCTTCGCATGCACGGGTCAAGTATCATATCATCAGTTTGTACCCACCAATTCCGGTTAGGTAACCACCACCAGACCATAAGGCCAAGAGATATAGCAGTCACATATGTAGCAACTATGTAGCTGACCATAGGGCCCCACCATGGTCTGTCTGTGATGCTTTGTTTATTCTAGCATGGATAGCATAACACGATTTGAAATGGTAGGTAATGACAGTTGCTCTAGAGATATCTGGCATCCTAGTTGGGAATACCTATACTGTTTGTTCGGAGTGCTGTGGCCTCTGGACACCCCTAATATCGAGGATCTCAATTACAAGGTTTTCAATTCGGTCTGCTATTCCGAACGCCATAATGGCAGATGAGAGAATTTTAGCAATGATAGACTTGAATGTGAAAGTTAAAGCCCAAAGGGTATAATGAGAGAGCGTGCTAATCTTCTTCTTTCTTTCTAGAAACTATCGGTTACGCAGATCATATTTTGCCCAGTCGATTCGCGCATTTCGAATTAATAGTCGGCTGATCAGATTCCCGACTTCACCACCAATCTCACAGCGCCCATTCAGGTGATTTTTGGCTTCATCTGCTTTTGGGTTAAACATATTGTTATTGAGAAAATAAATATTAATGGGTTATAGTGTCTCTTAGGACTCTACAGGACATTCAAAGACACTTCATTGACACCGAACAGAGTGTTCTCGATGGCAATTTATAATACCATGGAGAATCCATTTCATGTCCAATCTTCGCGTCATCATCAGTCAGATGTTCTCACGTGTTTAGACGACTATGTTGCGTGGATGTGGTGGATGTGGACCACTGGTCATGGTGATGCTACCGTAGACGTGGTGGACATGGTGATGGTAGTGGTGATGGTGGAAGATAAATAGACCATAGGTAGAATAGACTATTCAATATCTCCAGCGACCACCACGCCCAATGGGCCTTGGCTTCTTGCCCGCCTGTATCGGCCGCCAGTTGTATGACGGGAAGTTTGATCTTCTGCAAACCGCGCATTCTGTGCACCTGGATGCAGAGAACGTGCCTGTTTCTAATGTTGCCAGAGTGCAAGCATTCGCCTTTGGCATGAATTTCGAAGTCACCGCCCAGTATCCGCCCCGGTGAGTGATGGTTGAGCTTCTGTAGTGGTCTCTCCTTCTTCATGGTCTGATGAACTGTATGGCAGGAAGGCCAACTGCATAAAGAGACTCGAGTTTTTCAGGGTTGATGTGTACCTGTAGATATTGAGAAAGAGAGAAGAGTCTCCGAGACCGGTACTAAGGTAGAGTATAGTTTTTGATATGTGGTGAAACTATCCGCGATGGTGTACTTTCCAAAAGGGAGATATTATCGAGGTAGTATATGACTTTAGTATGCCTTATACCCAATGGGCTCCTCCACGCAGTAGCCTAGTGGGAGCAGATATATAGTCAGTATATAAGGCTTGACTCGTTGCTTCACCTCCCCCGCGAAGCCTGGCCATTCAAGGAGCCGCCCAGCCCTAAGAGGAACTCCGAACCCCCGACCCTCTGCGTCCTATAACATTCTTCGCTTACCAGATCTGGAAGTCTGTCCACAGGCATTTGCTGTATGCCGTTGAACGTTTCAATTTTAACGACGCTAGTTCTGGCCTCCGAGCGGTAGATAAGACTTGCTATTTTGGTAAAGTATTCTTAGCGGGTTTGGCTAGGATTGACAAGTCTACCGAAAGTATCGCTTTGTACCAGAATGATCATCGATATACCACTTTTAAATGAAAGAAAAGGAACAAGGACAGAACACTGGCATAAATGAGCCGGCCCAACGTTCAGTGATAGTATCCGATGGTATTTTAGCTCACACGAGTTTCAAATATTTCGTCAACTCTGCTGATCCTTCGATAATTGCGATGACTTGCTTGTACGTAGTGTCAAGACCACAGTTTCCCATTTTACCAGTAGGCAGCATATCTTCAAGTCGATGAGATGTCCAGAATCTAAGTAGTGATGTCAAGGAACAACACTTTAGGGGTGAAATCATGGACCTGCCTCCTCCCCAATCTCTCTGGAAAGATTGTTCTCCTAGTGCCTCCAACAATGAGGACGACAGAGGAATCACTCTACTTTGAGTGATTGGAGTATACTCTTTGGCAATGCTTGCAGCTATCATCGACATCACTGCTATAACCGAGAATACCATGTTCACTGTCGACATTAGCATCACCGTTGACGCCTGGTGTCTTTATTATCGCAGCGATTCTTGAAATCGATGCACAGGTATGTATGCGCGTCCACTTCTGAATCTCCATCGGCGGTCGGGTCTTTTTCCATCTCGTCTATACCAGATATAAGAACCGCATAAATGCGCACTTGAATCCCGTCGTGATGTAATAGTAGTCCCATGGTATACAAGTCCGACATCACTGTTACATTAAAACAATCACCGTGTTGTAGGTAAATATGGGACAAAAAAAGTAAAAGTGTCAAAGACTCATCAGAATCTTGTCCTCTTGCAAGCCATTGCGTATATAGAATATATCGTCGTCCACCGTCTCTTAGCCATCCACATGTGGTGTCCTATGCTATCTCCCAATATGTAATGCTATCAGCTCGTGGTAATATCGACAGCCACCCAACAAGCTTCAAAAACATTTCTTGGCCATGCTTTTGTTCTATCCCAGCCATCGCTGAACAGTATGTGCTTGAAACAGGAACCACATGTGCTTCCCTTCCACTTCCAACTAGCCTAGTAGCTAATACTAGCTGGTAGAGATGCACCCGTCCAGATAACCGGCATTTCTGGCAGGGTTGTGTTGGTTGTTTGGACGAACAATGTGTAGATTTATTCGGTAGTTGCCTCAAGCATAGTGGCCACTGGGGGGCTGGGGGGGTGGGGGGGTGGCTAACATGCCTTCTTTGTGTTCTTCCAGTTCTGGGTGTGGCATTAAAGGGCAGACGGCAGACGGCAGCGATAGCATGCCGGTTGGTTTGTCTTTTATATACTGTATGTTGTATATAGGTTTGTTGAAGAGAGTCGGTGATTTGTAGGCAGTAGTGGTTAGTGAGAAAGCATCTTTGTCTGATGTAGGGTTTGAATGGAGAGACTGCTATCGCCAGAGGACTTTTTGGTTAATATAGATGAGTTAGGTGGATGTATGCTTAGAGATGCCTGCATTGTTCTTGCAGAGTTGGGCAGTGTATATATAGATGTTGTACCAAGATTGGGTTGTTGGAGTAGAGAGAGTCTTGTGGGTGGAGAGATGGGCTTTATATACCACGATAACTATGGTTTGGTGAAGGGTTGTGGTGGTGGCGGCAAGGGCTGGATGTGAATCCAGACACGGTTATTGAAGGACTGGTGGGAATAAACCTATTCAACTACATCTTTCACATAGGGCTAGTGATGGTATTCTATTCCCTGGCTAGCAGCTCAGATGTCACATTATTATTATTAATTCTAGGTAGCGTGGTCTAAAAATGACATGTCCTTCAATGCGTCGCTCATCGCGGGAGCGGACGACCGCAGATGGATCGTTTCAATATCATGTTACTCCAGACACCCTGTCCGCGGTGTCGGTGCCTCCAACAGACAGAGGCCAGTGGCCGTACCTCAAAGGTCGACCGTCCGCAACTCCCATCCAAAATGTTCAGAAGGGATTGGAAAAAGGAAAAACAATACTACAAGTAGTTACATTTCAGAAAGGCAAAAGAAAAAAATGCCTGCAGCCATTCTATCACCAGGACAGAAGAGGGTGCCCGTAGTCACGAAGCAGGCGCTTGCTTTTT